CTATATATTTTTTATATTCCAGTCTCTGTCCTGTTTTGTCTGAACGCAATCTGTCCTCATGCATATCTGTTTGTGTTTCATAAAGGCTTCAAAATGTAAACAATATATCATAATAGTAGTGCCATGTAATGCATCATTCAGCAACCCCTTCCTATTTCTCTTTCACTTTTTTTCTTTTATTTAATTTTAAATCTATTAGCATGTTTTTCTTTATCAGCATCTTTTGTTGCTCTCAAAGTTGAAAACAATTTAGTTTTAGTGTACAAAATTAGTCTAAAAATATCTTAATAGTAAATATTTTTAAATAAAATTTTAAAACTGAATATCATGCTTATATGCTTTGACTAAGCATCTGGTAAGAAATATGTTTTCTTTAACAGAAAAATGTCATTCTTTGTTATAAGTTTTTTAAGAAGTAGTAAGTGAAGTATACAAAAATAAAATCATCGTTAATCAAAATTGAATGGGTCACATGAACTGGGAAGTAGAGTCAAATTCTCCCATATAAATATCTATTGGAAACTCTAGTTTAGAAATATGTTCAGACTGAAAACAGGAGAGATTATTGGTTTTGGATTGAAAGATCTTTTAGCTTCTGTGGATCGACTTCTGATGGTGCTCAGGTGAATCTTCTTAGCATGCTTAGCCACATTCTTCTTCAGCTCATCGAGAGAGGCCTTCAATTGTTGAAGTGTGTTAAGCTCATATCTTCCTTGGGAGCCATCCACCAACATTGATTCTCATTTGTCTTTTTCATATGATTAAGCTCCTCGCCTCGCTTCATCTCGATTTCGAGTTGGTTCAGAACCTGTACATGTAGTAGAATTAATATATATTATTTATATTGAAAACGTTTTATTAGAAAGGAAAGAAATTAAAATAACCTGAGTGTTGAGCTTACAGACACTAGCGTTCAAATGAGCCTCAATGAGTTTCATGGTTCCAGAAGTAGCTTGTGGTGGATTACCACTAACAAAACGTTCCAACACAGTCTCGACACAAGGATGACCAAAAGAAAAGACCTTTCGACCGGGTGAGAAGACGATAATAGCAATCTCAGCCCCACGTAGAGTGCTCAATTCACTCGCCTTCTTGAAAAGTCCGGCTCGGTATTTGGAGAAAATGATTTGGAGATTGGTTTCATTATTCATCTTCACCATCTCAACCTTTTGTCGTCCCTTACTCTTTCTCGCCATGGTTACAAGTATTGAATATGTGCAAAGAGAAATTAAAAGAGAGACTAATGGAGAGAAATAATTGTATTGAAAATGGGGGAAATGAGTGATATTTATAGGAGATTTAAATCAAGGTTGTGAATTAATAAATTTTAAGTAGACATCCTGTACATATTTTCCTGTATTAATAACTTACATCTTTAGAGTTACTTGAGAATCTTCTCTTTATTGAAATATATGGTAGGAAAAATCTGGACAATTAAAGTTAAATTTTAGCTGTACTTTTATACAATTTGCAAAATCATCATTGTTTTAACATTTATAGATACATAGCTAGATGGATATATATAAAAATTGAACCTTCTTGAAAATTTTACATTTTTTATGCTATATATATGTATATATATTCTCGATATTAATTTGGGATTGAGAAGGTAAGAGAGCTACTTTAAATTTTATTTATTTGTCTCTTGTTGCGAGACACAATGAATCAAATTGCAATGATAAAAATCCTTAGATTATTTATGTTAAAGTAATAAAAAATATAAAAATGTATTATACGATATATTAAAATTTAAAAACTATGATGAATTCTTTATAAAATTAATTGATCATTAGTACAATGGATAATTTTAATTTATTTATAAGCATTAAGGAAGGATCTAAGTTGCAAATTGTAACTATCGATTGGATCACATTTAAAATTCAAAATTTTAAATAATTAAATTTAATTGTGACAATCGATTAACCTTCATAACAATAAAGTTTTAATTCGATTGCATGTGATATTCAATTAAACTTGAAATTCATATAATTCATTTTCAGTACTTTCAAAAGGTGACTTACAATTATTTTATTTGTATAACACTTCAACTTGAGCCTGCTTAAACAAAATCCAATTTCTTTGATCCATTTGATTGAAAATTTCTATTTAATATTGTTTGGTCCTAATATAAAATCTTCCTTGTTTGCATACTTAACATTTAATGAAGATATTATCCCTACTTGGGATATATTCCCAAATATATAGATATGTTTACATACTTAGATAAGCACTCTCA